TCTGCACATGTTTCTGGCCTTGGTTTTCGATCCAATTTGTGCCGATGCGCCGTCTAGGCGCGGCTTCTTCCTGTCCCTGGAACATGTAACAGGATCTTCACGCAGCATGGTAGACCAGCCAGCGTCTGAACCTCCCGCCCCAGGACTGGTCGATGGCACATGTCCTGGATTGGCCAAATGACCAGGACGAGCGCACGAAAGCACAAGCATGTTAGCCAACACGAGCCCTCAAACGTTGCCTCGCGGGGCAGTTTGTCAGTGTAAGCGTGCTGTGTGGCCAGCGGCGTGAGGGTGATATTCAGTGCTCTGTGGAACCAAAATTCAAACTTGGAATGCACAATGTCGAGGTTCGGGTTTTGTCTGTGGACTTGTTGTTGGACCCTGAGGTTAGAGACCTTAGCAAAGCTAACACCGTGGAGAAATGGTCAAACCACATTGAGGCTGGCCGTGTAGCAGCACTTGGATGGGGGGGGCGTGCGACACATTTTCTGCTGCTCGTTGAAAGGACGGGGGCTCCCACGGGGACTGGCAGCTTTGACTCAATGCCAGAGGTTGCAGGTTCAGGTTTCGAATACATTACATATGATCCAGGCCCCCCTCCCCTCAGAATGCATATGGAATCGAGCCCCCCCCTCGCTGGATGGGTACGCCCGTGGGCCTCGCGAAGGCCTCGCGAATGAGATCGCTCCCCCCCCCGTGGTCGTGGCCCTGTGGGCATGGCGTGGTGGAGGGCGCACCCCCCCCCTCCCTCACCCTGTGTGTGTGGGGTGGCTCGTCATCGTCCTCCTCCTCCTCCTCATCCTCCTCCTCCTCCTCCTCCTCTTCCTCCTACTGCTCCTCCTCCTCCTCCTCGTCCTCGTCGTAGTCGTCGTCGTCGTCGACGTCGTCGTCGCCGCCACCGTCACCGTCACCGTCGTCGTCGTCGTCGTCGTCGCCGTCGTCGTCGTCGTCGTCGTCGTCGTTGTCGTCGTCGTCCGCGGCGGCGGCGGCGTCGGCGGCGGCGGTAGCGTCGGCGTCGGCGTCGGCGTCGGCGTCGGGGTCGGCGTCAGCGTCGGCGTCCGGCGGCGTCGGCGGCGTCGGCGGCGTCGGCGTCGGCGTCGGCGGCGTCGGCGGCGGCGTCGGCGTCGGCGGCAGCGTCGGCGGCGGCGTCGGCGTCGGCGGCGGCGTCGGCGTCGGCGTCGGCGTCGCGGCGGCGGCGGCGTCGGCGTGGGCGTCGGCGGCGACAGCGTGCGTCGGCGTCGGCGTCTTCGTCCTGTTTCGCCCCCCATCCTATCTGGGGGGTGGACTGTAGAACCCTGGGGCCCATCCCATCTGGGGGCGCGGCAAGTGAACCCTCGACCCCAGATCATATATGGCCCATGGCCATTGTTGAGCTGCTGTCTCGAGTGAAAGTTGTAGGAGGGTGCGGGTGTGTAGAGCACCCAGCGCCCCCAACCTCGGAACCCAGAGCAGTCCCCTCTTGGAGTGCATGGCCGACCGAAGCCCTAAGTTCTGTCCTCCCTTGTAAACTTACCGAGTTCGACCAATGCGAATTCGGACAAGATGGTAGAGCAGTCACCGGGACCTTTCAGTCAGGCGTGATGTTTTGAATGTCAAGTTATGGGGTGCAAGGGGAAGAGGTAGGCGCAGCCACGGTCCTAGAGGCCATCAGACGAGAAAGAAGTGAACCGAACCTTCCGAACAGCCATCAAGACGGTGTACCCGCTGGCGCTGCGCGAAATGTTCGGACAAGCGATGCTCGACTCCATCCTCCTCTCTCCAGATCCGTGAGGATGAGGATGAGTCCGAGTTTGTCGGCTCTGCCACCACATCACTTAATGCTCCCAGGCTTGGCCCTGATCTCGCTGTCCCGAGATCAGCCCGTGCGATGTCCAGCATAGCTAGGATCCGAAGTGTGCTCAACCCTGAAAATGCTGATGCTCAGCTTGAATCCCATTTAGTAGCTGAGGCCCGTGCTCGAGAACCCAAACCAGAGGTTCCAGGGTCACCCCAGGACTATACTTCTCCGTTCAGCACAAGCCTCTTAGAAAGATGCTGCGTCTTAGAAGGCGTCAGCTTTCATCTATAGATACGGCCCGCGCCTTCCAAAAAATCAACCTTCTAAGAAGCCTTCCCCCCTCCCCCCTGCCCTGAGGAGCAACAATAGGGGGGTTGCATAGGGGGGGATGCATCGACCTGGAATCGGCCATACATCGCCAACATATCGGCGATAGGCCACCAATGACGAAACCGCACCTCTCTGGGCGGGGTGAGGCTGTCAGAGCCCCATCGGCGATCAATGGGCGACTGAGGATCGATGCACCCCGACTACTCGGAGGCGAGCCCGAGGGGGAAATGAGAGGGAGAAGGTCTTCTCGGAAGGCTCGGAAGTCCCCCGACCTTCTGGAAAATGCTCTGAGCTTTTCCCGGAGACACCGAAATGTTCTCCGAAGGCACGAGGATGTATGAGAAGTCCCACCGCCTTCTGAGGGGACCCTCTCCTTCTCGCTTCCCCCCCTCGCTCGCCGCCGACTATCCCCTCCTATCACTGCCCCTGATGTGCGCGTGGCCGAAAGGCTGCTCGCCGCCCTCCCACCACTCGAGTAGGGCATCGTCTACAGAATTGATTCACCCCGAGCTTGATCTCCCCGCCGAGTCGGACGCAGACTGCTCGTGGATCTCTCCGAACACTCCACGCACCTGTCCATGGACCCAGCGAACACATCGAGCCTGGGGTACATCCGCTCTGCTGTCGATGCCCTGCTCTGAAGGGGCCCTGGGACACACAAACAAATAGACACAAACGACAGGATTCCCCACATCTCCCCCCGTTCTGTGGGCTCTTGTCTTCCCCCGCACTTCCCGTGTTTTCCCACATCCTCTGGGAACTCGACGATGAACTGTGTCTGTGTGTTTTCTCTCTCCTCCTGACGCTCGCACCACGTCTGGCAGCACCCGGCCGGCCCTCCGGCCCGGGGGCCCCCCCCCCCCGCCGCGCTCCCCCGCCCCCGGGCGCCCGGGGGCCCACCTCCGCCACACGGGCGGGCTGCACGGGCCACGCGGCCGGCTGCGTGCGGGGCGCGGTCGGACCGAGGGCCGGGAGAGCAGCTCGGCGGCAGCTCGGGGGAGCCTCCCGTGCCATCTCGTCGGCTCCTGCGAATCGGCGCTCGTCGGCGCTCAGTGGACGCGAATCGACGCCGATCGGCGCTAAATCGACGCTAGATCGACGCTAAATCGACGCTGAATCGGCGGTGCCTCATCGGCTCCCAGGCGCTCGTCGGCGCGAATCGACGCTAGAGACGGAATCAAGAGGGTATACCAAGCTCCCATGATTTGATACCGAATAGCATCATTCAAGAACATGAGGGACTCCACCGGCCAAAGCACCCCAAACTGTAAGATCACCGAGGGTACCCTGTGCGCTAGAGCATACGACAGACACGAAGAGTACACAAGGTACCCTCCCCGAGCCGACCTCGATCTTATACCTCGGTCCGACCGGATGTATGAGGAGTCGAACACGACTTTCCCCCAAAAAAGAAATCCTTGCGAAGGACCCAACCATGTGCTGCTGTGAGTACCGCATTAAGCGTAACTGTTCGGTGGAGCTCCCTGCGGGGCCACGAAACGTGCGAGGGGTGCGCAAAAATGGGGCGGGGCCGCCATGCGAACTTTGCCGCTGGGGCCTTCGGTAGATCTCCCTGTGGGGCCACGAAACGCGTGAAAGGCGAACCGAAATGTGAGCGGTGCCGCCATGCGAACTTTGCCGCTGGGGCCTTCGGTAGAGCTCCCTATGGGGCCACGAAACGCGTGAGGGGTGTATTGAAATGGGTGCGGGACCGCCATGCGAACTTTGCCACGAAGGCATTCGGTGGAGCTCCTTATGGGGCCACGAAGCGTGTGGGGGTGTGCCGACATGGGGGGCGGGGCCGCCATGCGAACTTTGCCACGAGGGCCTTCGGTGGAACCTTCTGGGGCCACGAAACGTGTGAAGGGTGTACCGAAATGGGAGCGGGGCCGCCATGCGAATTTCACCACTGGTGCTTTGGGGCCACGAAACGTGTGAAGGGTGTGCCGAAATGGGGGCGGGGCCGCCATGCGAACTTTGCCACTGGGGCCTTCGGCGGAGCTCCTTTTGGGGCCACGGAGCGTGTGAGGGGCGAAAGGGACGGGAGGAGCGGGAGGACGGAGGAGGAGAGGAGAGGAGGAGAGGAGGAGAGGAGGAGAGGAGACGAGGAGCGCTGTCTCTTCAAAACGAGGACCCAATTCCACAGGATGGTTGGGAAATAGCTTGGCTCGTCGGATCTGCAAAATTAACCTGGCAAAGAACCCAACCGTATGCAGTTGTGAGTACCGCAATTGTGGGTATCGTCTTCCATGGAGTTCCCTTTGGGCCGCGAAACACTGTATTGGGTGGGGGAGATGCATGCACACTTTGCCACTGTGGCCTTCGATGGAGCTCCCCATGGGGCCACGAAGCGCTGTACTGGGCGGGGGGGACGTATGCGAACTGCGTCATTCGGACCTTCGGTGGAGTTCCCTCTGGGGCCACGAAACGCTGTACTGGGTGGGGGAGACGCATGCGAACTGCGCCACTCGGACCTTCGGTGGAGCTCCCTATGGGGCCACGAAACGCTGTACTGGGCGGGGGAGACGCATGTGAACTGTGCCACTGGGACCTTCGGTGGAGCTCCCTCTGGGGCAACGAAACGCTGTACTGAGCGGGGGAGGCGCGTGCGAACTGCGCCAGGGACCTTCGGTGGCGCTCCCTATGGGGCCACGAGTGGGGTAGACGCATGCGATCTGTGGCACTCGGACCTTCGGTGGAGCTCCCTATGGGGCCACAAAACGCTGTACTGGGTGGGGGGGAGACGCATGCGAACTGCGCCACTGGGACATGCGGTGGAGCCCCCTATCGGGCCACGAAACGCTGTGCTGTATGGGAGAACCGCATGCGAACTGCGGAGGAGGGGGGAAGAGGGAGAGGAGGAGGTGGGACGCGGGGCGCTCTCTCTTCAAAACGAGGATCCAACACGATGGTTTGGAAAAAGAAAAACACGTAGCAAGTTCCCAAATCTACGAATATTCTACGTAACTGATTGACAGGTTCGACAAGCATGTCCGTTTCGGGGTAAATCGATGCTGAAGTCGATCTCCTACTCGAAAGATGGGAGGGGGAAAAGGGTCGGCATCGGCTGGGCATGTTACGTAAGGCCGTTGTGCTGGACACTTCTCCAGCAGAATGTCCAGCACCGAGACCACGGATGCACATGCGAAATGCCGGAGAGGCCATGCGAGTGCCGAAGCGGACGGAACCAACAGGCACAGATGCAGGAGACGGCACACGCGCAGGCACTGATTGGGCAGCTTGCAGTAGGCTATCCCACCAAACTTCGTGATTTGCGCAGCGCGAAAGGCAGATATCTCGGCGTCCTCGAACAGGCCTCTCGAAGACGACTACTCTCTTGCACGGGCTCCGAAACTGGGTTATCTTCATGCCCCGGCGGGTGACCTAGAGTGAACAAGCCGGAACCAACAGAACCGGTGGCAGTGGCGATGTCACAGGGAAAAACGTTGCAACCAGAAACAGCCACAGCAGCAGGTCAGCGCAGCTGACATGTAGCAACCACGGCTGGTCGATCGTTTCGATAAGAACGCTCGAAACCTCATGTGCGTCGACTCAGCGATGACACGATGCGCCCTGTTGTATCCCTTTGATGATATCGTTAGCAAGCGCCGAGGTCTCATGCAAACGCAGTTGCATTGATTCCGCAATCCCTGTTTAGGATGGCTCTTCCACGCCAGCGGTCATCTGCATGCACGGTCTCCCGATCACCGCGTGAGAAAGCGCGCGTAGGGTCACCTCGACCTCCAAGTGGCAAAACATCGGATGGCAGCATAACGGTGCCCGAAATCGTCGAAATTCAGTCTTTTTCGGCATACCGCACGGCAGCGCACTCACACATTGTGTAACAGAGTCACGTCATGCTGGCAATTTCCTCGGCTCAGGAAGCCTCAAGGGCGACCAGACCCAGCAGATGCAGGGTCACTATTCGCCCGCCTGTAGAAGTCTGCCTTCGTCATACTTGCCTGAGACACCCTAAATAATTTCTTATCGAACTCCAGCAACTGCTGCTGGTTGTCCTGCAGCGGTAGAGCCTGAGGCCGGCGCGCTTTGATTACCTCCCACGCGTCATTCAATCTCAGATTTCGCAGCGCCATCAAGACAGCGCACGCGACGGTGACGCTGCGATTACTCCCGTTAGCACAGTGGATCAGGATCGCGCAGCGACCTGCGCTCGCGAGAGGGTCTGTGACCAGGCTACCGTCGCAGGATGATTCTGCCTCCCTCGCCGAAAGACTGGCGCTGCTGGTCATAGCTCCCACTCGCTGGTCGGAACAAGCACCACGAGACTCAGAGGATTGATCAGGGTGCTCAGCGTCGGCTCGTGAAGCATCCTGCTCACTCCCTTCAAAAGTCGCATCTGGATCTGCACTCACCGACTCACTACCACCTCGCTTGACCCCGGAATCTAAATCAGGCCGTCTCGCGAAATCGCAGTACAACCCAGAATCACCAGGATCACCTGCACCATTTCCTAATTGCCACGACTCCAGTAAGACGCTTCTGCAGAACTCGATGGCCATCCTGAAAGTGCGACCACTGCCCGCATCGTTCCCAAAGTCAACGATTTCCAAGCGCTCATACACGATCTTCGGTTCTGCTGTCTCGTGGTAGTTGGGCACGTCGTCGGCGCAATTCAGAATGTGGGTTACGTTGTGCGCGCGCAACTGCTCCAAGTTCTGCGCGTCGCGCCCAGGCCCGAGGAAGATGCGCACACCAGCACTCTGGCTGGAGTGTGGACAGGCAGCTTTGCTGGAGCATGCTTCTGGCCGAAGCTGTTCTGCCTCTTCCAGGGTGAGTATCTCAGACGATGTCCATGCTTTGCGACGTGCCGCGAGCACCTCCTTCAGGCTCGCCATTTGCTGTCTGATTGAGTGGACTCCTCAGCTTCAGCAAAAACCCAAGGCAACCCACCACCACTCCAGTACCGATCGAGCCCTTTCACGGATGCCTAAATTTCTAGCACGAGTAAAGAGGTCGAATACATACATCAAGCCGAAACGATTACGATACTCTATCTTCACGCAAGCCGCACTTCGGAGTCTGCAGAAGGCTGACTCCCCAGTTTTTCTCGCACACAGTACTTCGCACTTGATTAACTGATTCCACGGTCCAACGATGTTCTGGCACGAAGCTTGCATGCCAAAATCGAAGCTACAGAAAAACGAGTCCATGACAAATCGCGCTCGCGAAAAAAACGCGGGCTTCCCGAGCCTTGCTTCTCGGCCGAAATCCGCATGCTGGACTGCGTGCTCGGGGCGCTGGGTCTGGGGAGCTATCAGAATCCCATACATAGTGGTTGCCCTAAGGGGTTCTCACTTCGATATTATACGTCCAAAACCATCCTGTGGTGTTGGGTCTCGTTTTGGAAAGACAATCCCCGCGTCCATCTCCTCCTCCTCCTCCTCCTCCTCCTCCTCCTCATCATCATCATCATCATCAGCAGCATCATCATCAGCACCAACAGCAGCAGCATCATCAGCATCAGCATCATGCCCCTCCTCCGTCCTCCCCCTGCTTGCTTCTGCCCTGTTCGCGACCATCATCATCACCATGAGCATCAGCATCACCAACATCATCATCAACAGCAGCAGCAGAACCATCATCATCAACAGCAGTATCATCAACAGCATCGTCATCATCAGCATCATCAGCATAACCATCATCAGCAGCAGCAGCATCAGCATCATCATCAGCATCATCAGCATCATCAAAATCAGCATCATCAGTATCATCATCATCATCATCAAACGCCGACTTCGGTAGTCTCCTCTTGCATGCGCCGGTGCACTGATACCCTTGGTAACTGCGCGCGTTGAACCCGAGTTCCTCGCAGCCTCTGCACACCACTTTGGTTCCTTTCGCCTTTCTATGATGTTCCACTTGCGTCGGCTTCAAGTGTCTCGTATCTGAGAACGCTCCACCGCACGCCGCGCGCGTCAGTGCCTTCGCGTCCGCCTCGGCTTTCCGTTTGCGATTCGCTGCCTCCGCATTCCCCCGTCGTACCTCTTTCTCTCGTTCTTCCGCGCATTTCCGACAGAGTCCTCTGCCCGCAGCATTGTGCTTCTTCTGAGCTTCGGACATCCCCGCCCCCTCTTGGAATCCGACAGGCAGCCGCCGTTGGAACACCGCAATGTGACCACGCGTTTTTTTTATTATTCGACGCCCTCTGACGTTCTCCCGCACATTTCCGACACAACCTCTGGCCCGCTGCGTTCTGCTTCTTCTGAGATTCCGACATCTCCGCCTTGTCGTCATACAGCGACAGGCACTTATCGTTCGAACACCGCGCTGTTCCAACACTCTCGTTCCACTTCGCGCTGCCAGTGCGCGTGCTCTGTTTCGCCTTGACATCCCTGCACCTTGCGCAGTACATTGTCCTGATCCTTTTCGTCCCCCCGTTTTCGAGCGCCGCGTCCGCGTTCCGACCGCTACCTTGCAGTGCCGCGTCGTCGCCCTCTGCTCTCATTGCCCGCCCACTGCACGTTGTGCACCATTTTGCACCTGCGTTTTTCATCTCCTCCGTGCGTTCTTTGCAGAACGCCGGTCTGTCCTTCCTCTGGAACTCGTACTTCGTGAACGCCTCTACCAAAAACCTCCGCCGGCAGCGCTGGCACCGGTCTCGCGGCATTAGTTCCGCCCCCCATTCATCCCAATCGAAGATCTCCCCTCGTAGCACCTGCAGCAGTTTTTTCGCGCCCTCCATCTCACCTGCGTTGTGCGGTCTCCTGTCAAAAGGCCGGAAAATCAGAAGGTCCTGTCGCCTGCGCGCGCGCGCGACGGCAACGTAGCTGGACATCCAACTCACGCCGCGCCCTCTTTCAAGGTCAGCTATCACTGCGGCCATGGTCCGGCCCTACGCAGAGTGCGCCGTCGCTGCCAAAGACGGGGTTATCATAAACTGCGTGCGCTTCACATTCAACACTGGATGTTTCCGATGCCCGTCCAAGAACCATTGCCGCCCTTTCGATGGGAAGATCGGATGCAGCCCTGGCCCCCACCCTGGCAGGTGCCACTCCTTCGCATGGAAGCTCAACACTATCACTCTCGGTAGATGCAACAACACTTCCTCGTCTTCATCCCCAGTGACCTCGTCCTCGTGCAACGCCCATCCATGGATCGTCGCTGTACGCCCCCGCAGGAGCTTCTTCTTTGATCGATCCAAGTGATCTCCCAAAGCCACGGGCATCCCTTTGGCCAGTGGCAGCCACCCGGGCAGGCTTGCACACTCCTTCTCGTGGTACCCAACCAACGTACCTTATCCTCCACCGTGTACGGCCGCCCCTGTTCCCCCCCATGGCAAGGGCGGTCCCTGGCTGCGACCCAGAGCAACTGTTCTCCTCGCTCTTTGGCCCACTGCACAGCTCTCTGCTCCCCGACGTGGCAACGAATGTCCTGGTTCGCATAAATGGCGACAACTTCTACAAATTTCTCCCCCCGAAACCGCGCGTCTTCTGCCGACGTCGCGACGAGCTTCCTCTTGTCCCGCTCACTTTTGCAAGCCTCGCACTCTAACTCGTTGCGCATCGCAATTGCATCTCTGTCTTCGACACAGCGCGTTTTCCCGCACGCCGGTGCCCCGTTCACCCACGACCCCGGAACATCCGTCGGTCTGCCACGCAAGAAATTGCGCGTGCGTTCAGACAACTTTCCTCGGCGAAACTCGCCCTGCACTCCAAGAAACCAATCGTCCTGGTCTTCCACGCGCTTGCACTCCGTCAACTCCGTCATTCCCTGCACTGCGCCATCGCCGCCCGCTCCCCAAAAGATATACTGTCCGTGGTCCTCTGTGGCACCCGGCGCGTATTTCCTCGCTTTTTTCAAATACGACGTGGGAAGCGCATTAATGGCTGTCCCAGATGGCGGCTCCAATTGATAGACATCCCCGCAGAACAGCACATTCACGCCCCCGAAGGGCCTGGCGACGCCGTCTTCACCTACCTTCGTGTCGCTTGCAGCTGACATGCACGACCGCAAGTGTGAGTCTAGCTCTGCAATGAAGTTCGCGCTGACCAAGCTCACCTCGTCCACAATCAGCCACTTCCACTGTGACATGCGCTGCGCTGCTTGCTCTTTCTTCGTTTTCTTCTTTGTCTCTGCGTTGGCATCGCCCGCCGCGTCCTTCTCTTTCGTTTTGTTCACGCCGAGCCCAAATGCACTGTGAATCGTATTCCCGTCGAGAGCTGACGCGTTTGTAGCCTGCAACGCTGCCGCCTGGAAATCTATGCCGCGCGTCCACCCCAGCTCTTTTTCGAACAGCTCCTTCCGGATCTTGTTCATGACGAAACTCTTCCCAGTCCCCGGGCCACCATGCAACATCCACACGAAGGGCTGCATATCAGAACCGCTCTGGCCTGTTTTCTTGCCGCTCGCGGACCTCCCGAGTTCTCGCGCCAACACGCGATCTGCCACCTTCTCAACGACGCTACGCTGTCCCGCGTTCAACCCGTTCTCCGCAAGCCCTTCCCTCCATCTCCGCACACTTGACGCTGTTGCTTTCTTGGCCGCCACAACCCCCCGGGGCACCTTCCTCCCCGCCCGCGCCGCTGCCTTCTGCGGCCCTCGACGCCGCGGCCACCGCTTGCGTTTTCTGCACCTCCGCGTCATCCCACCTCAACGCACCGCCCCCTCCGCGTTTCTTGCGCTTTCCGTTCATCCGACCAGTGCTCACTCCCCACACGGCGTCGCTCCTGGCCATGGCCTCCCGGCCCCTCTCCTTTTCGCACTCCGCATCTACATTTGTCCGCCTGTCCTCTTTCTCCATGGACGCACCTCCCGCATGCGTCTTCCGCCTTGTCGCCGCGTCGACACTTCTCGGATCCAGTTCTTCATCGCTGTGCAGCTCGTCCTCGCGTTTGACCAGGTCTTCGTCCGTGACTGGTCGCAGATCCACCACGCCCATGTAGTTCTGCACGTACCTCTTTGTTTCTTCACATGGCATGCCTTTCTTTAACCACTCCAATGACGCCTCCGCCCACGACCCCTGCGCTCCGCGGAAGTCCCGCAGGTGCGGCACTCCACATTCGACGTCGTCACGCAGCGTGCACGCCCGAAAATATACCATCAACAAAAGCCCGTTCCTACCCTCCTGCCCCGCTCCGCGCTTCGGCTGCGGCGCTCCGTGAAAACTGGGGTTCCCCGGGCGCTCGTTCCGCACCAGCACCCACGTGTGCCTCAGAGTTTCCAACTCCGGAACATCCGGGAATGGCACCCACGAAGAACTCCCCCATCCCTCCTTGATCACATAATCCACTCCGGCTTTCAATTGGGGTCCAGCCTGCGCACCGCCTTCGTCGGTATCCGCTCTCTGCTGGTCTGCTTCGCGGACCTTCTGCATCCCGGACAGCGTCAGCTCCGCCTGGTACTAATTTGCTGGCCGCGGCTGCCAGCTCTGCTCCGCTGCGGGGAAACGCTGCCAACTCGACGCGCCAATATCGCAATAACTCATGCAACGATAGGTGTGCCAAGTCGGGCGCACCGGGAGCGTCAAGCGGGCGCATGCCATACAAGTACACTGGACTCTTAGACACAATTCGAACCTTTTTCGACCCTTCTCGTTTGTCCGCTTCCAGAATCCCCGACGCTGCTACGGTAACACCGTCCCCGTCAGCACAGAGCCGCTCCGCCATACGCGCGGCTTCTGCTCCCGGGATCATGGCAGGCTTCGCGGTCTTGATACTCCCGGCACCAGTCACGTCTCTGGGGTCTCGGTACGCTCGCAGATTCGCACTTTCCTGCGCTGACCGCACCACGCCTCTCCCGTACATGTCACTCAGGAACCTCTTCATGTGCCTGTTCGCCCGGTACGCCGCGGTCCTGTCTTTCGTCTGCTCCGCCAGCGCGTGGTGGCCCTTTTTAATCTCCCTCGCCTCGTTGAACGACGGGGCACACCGCTTGCACTGATAGTCCGCCGCGTACCCCGCTGCTGCATTCTGCGCTCTTTGCGCCGCCAGAACCATGTCGACGGGTCGATCCGTCTCCCAGCGCCGCTCTTCGCACACACACCTATCGTGCGTCGCTTCCGTCACTGGGAACCTGTGAGGAATCTGCAAATCGCTGTTGAAATTCAATCCTACCGCGCCGCTTAGCATCGCTGGTAACGTGCCGTTCAGGTTTCGTTCGTTCATGGGCCCGTGCAGGCACCCTGTCATGTTCCTCCTCCCTGCT